AGCAGCAGAATAAAGGCTAGGCCATTTTGGCCCAATGCTGGACAACTTTGTCAAACAATTTTCACTCTAGAGCACCCGTGGGGTTAGCGGAAGCTGACTAGTAAAGGGTAGTATTCACTTTTCACCATCAGAAGAAATCAAGATGGACTATCAGGAGGCTGAGTGCAGTCATCCCAATAAAATCTTATGGTCCATTGATCAGTTTCCAGACCTGGAACTCAGGTCCTCTGCAACACCATGACAAGTACACGCAGTGTGACTGCCCTGCCTTTCCCCAAAGGGCCCATGGCCATTTACTCAGGTAACAGTACACTAAGGGAGAAGAAGACACATATTTCAAGAGTCAGAGTTGGAATTGAGCCCTGGAGACCTGAAGTGTCAACATGGTCCTCCTAGTAGAATGGGAGCATACAGGAACCAGACAAAAAATGAAGTCCTGCCAAAGGTCCACTGGGTCAGCAGACCCATCTACACCCATCTGGGATCATTTTCCGGGTCTCTGGATATACCATTGGGATAGACATACTTGAAAGTTGCACAATCCCTACATCATGCCTTTGGCCCACAGGGTAAGAGCTATTCTAGTGGAGAAAGCCAAGTGGAAGACTATGAAATTGTCCCTTCCCCAACCAAGCAATATTGCACACAGAGGAGGATGGTGGACATTAGTGCCACCTTTGAGGATCCAAAGGATGCAGGGTAGTGATCACATCTCTACTTCACCAGTTGAATCCTGGAAGATTGCAGTGGACTACCATAAACTCAACCAAGAAGCAGTCCTGACAGCAGTGCCATAGCATATGTGGTATCTTTGCTAAAGCAATATAATAAGGCCTTAGGTACATGGACAAGGATTTGGGAAATGCATTGTTTTCTACTGCAAACAGAAAAAAGGAGCAGAAACAGTTTGTATTTACTAGTACATGGGATGAACAACAATATTCATTTATAGGTTTGCCCAGGACTATGTTAATTTTTCACACTCTGTCAGAATGTAGTCTTGAGAGATCTTGGCTATCTAGACATCCTACAGAATGTCACACTGATGCATTACATCATCGTCACCTTGGTTTCACCAATGCCTTGTCTACAGTTCACGCCTATGGCCGTATTGGAGACCCCATAGAAATAGTTGAAGAATGAGGTAAAAGCCTGAGTTCGTTTTTTTGATAGGTCAGTATAGAGGTGCAAGCTACAGGTAGTGCACCTGCTTGTCTATTTTGTGTAGACAGGGAGTAGACCAAGGTTATAGAACTTACAGACCAGTGGGCAGTGGGGAATGACATGTCTGGCCTGGTCAGGGCCCTGCAAGGAAAAAGATTGGAAGATGGAGGACAAGGAGGGTGGGGAAGAGGCATGTGATGGAGTGATCCCAGGCTGTGAACATCATGGTATCATGTTATCACCCAGGAGACGAATTAAGCAACAAAATAGACAGAATGACTCGGTCAGTTGATGCTAGTGAGCCCCCACCTGCCACCACCACAGGGCTGGTACCACAGAATAACCAGGGTAGCAGAGATGGAGGTTACACAAGGGCCAACAGCATGGAATTCCACTCCCAAAAGTTGATCTTACTGCTGCTGCCACCAAACGTCCTACCTACCAACAGAGATCTGGGCTCAGGCTCTGTTATGGCACCATCCTCAGGGAGAACAGCTGGCCACGTGGCAGCAAGTTGGTGTTATCGCGCTCCTTCCACCCAGAGGGGCCAGCAATTTGTTCTGACAGAAATAGAACCACGTTCCAGGTATAGGTTTGCCCTTTCCGTCCATAGGGCTGCAGAGGGTGCCATTATCCAAGTGCTTATAGAAGGGGTGGTCCTTATGCATGGCATTTCACATAACATCACGAGACAGCAAAAGAAGCGGGAGAGTGGGCCCAGACCCGTGGTAGCCACTGGTCACATCACACACTCTATGCCATACACCTGCAGCCGCCCACTGAAGGAGATGCTCAGAGATGATCATTTCCGAGGATGGGAAGCCATCCTGCAGGGCCCTGGATGAAACCTGAACCCAAGTTTATATGGTACTGTGTCCCTAGTAGGATAACTTCATGAGTCAGGGATCCAAGGGGTGGAAGTAGGAGCCACCCCACATCTCATCACTCCCAACAACTCATGTAGGGGATTGTGCTTCCCGAACCTGCACTTACAGACCACAGGATTAGAGGTCCTGTTTCCCTCCGGGAGAACACTTCCACCAGGGGACACAGCAGGAGTCCCACTAAGGTATCAATGGCTATTGCTGGGCAAATAGCCATTCATACCTTACCTTTCTTCACCTGGAAGGTGAAGGATGTCTAGATAGTCAAGATCTCTCAAGACTACATTCTGACAGAATGTCCAGAGCCCCACAGTTGAAAAGAATCACCATCCTGAGCACCAGGAGGAGATAGGGCTGTTGTCACCAGTGGGGACAGGGCGGTAAAGGTCTGACACCCCGGTGATGTACTTGGGTGCCATTTGGTACTCCCTTGCCCAATTATGACAGTAAATAGACCAAACTGCAATTCTGGCCCAAGAACAGATCCTCTTTCCAGTAAAAAGTACTGCCCAGCCACTGGAAGAATGGGGCCTTCGGGTGCTAACCCCTTTAGGATTACTTCAGCTACCAAGAGCTACTTTGCCCAAAAGTCTTTCCTGAGTTGGCTCTCTGATGGAGACAAGGAAATGCAGATGCAGCCTCTTCCGCCCAACACAGTCAACTCCGAAAGCCATTTCACTGCAGAGCTCCCCAAGGGCCATCGCAGCTTTCCTTCTCCCTTCTCCCAATTCTACTTCCTCTCCTCTTGGTCAATTCCAGGGGTACTCTCTAATAAATACTCGGACTAAACTCTCTGATGAACCCAGCCTGGGACAGTCTCCTTCTGTGGTCTGATCTTATCTCACTTTATGCATTCCCTGGGCAATTTCACCCATGGCCATGGGTTTGCTCATCACCTAATCTCTAAAGTGTAACCTTGGCTATAAATTGAGAAGATTGGCTTAGATGATCTCTAAGGGCCTTACAGAGCTAATACCTATGAAGATCAGATAAGCACTCAGAATGAAAACTAGCTTCCTTGGGCCAGTGCTAAGCGGGAGGATGGTGTTCTCCAGGGAGCCACTAGGTGGCAGGTGGGAGGGAGGCGGGTTAGAGCCAGTGCGGCTTCGCTTTCAGAAAGCAGGAGGGGAGTTCCCGGGTTCCTATTCTTAACCAGAGAACGCCACCGGGAGCAGTCTTTTCTCTAAACTGCAATTTTAGAATACTCCGATGAAACAGCGGGGCCTGTCTCCCAGGAAGCCCGCCACAAAATGCAGAAGCACCAGCGACAGATTGCAAAAGAGGCCAGCCTACCAGCTGTCTGCTTGAGGAGAGGGCCAGGGGTCTTGGGTATTTAGATTCAACCCTCTCCTCTTTCTGCCACCAGTCTGGGTTGTAAGCCTGTGTTTGTTTCATTAAAAAACAAGAATTAAAGAATTTTTTAGGTGATGGATAAGAAAACAGCTCTGTGGGGAGGACAGCTGTCACCTCCCTTCCAGGTGGAGAAAGGTAAGTCCTGGGTTTACAAATGCACACTGTCTGAACAGGGAGCTGCCCCTGGCATGTTCGTGGTGCAAGTGACAAGTCATGCGAACGTCCAAGAGTCTACAGCATCACAGGAATCTCTCTTGAGATCGCTGGGCCTTTCATTCAAAACCAGCCCGAACTCTGTTAAACGCATGGTTGGTAATGTGTGCTTGGGTTAGTAACAGCTAGGTTACACGATGGTAACCTTTTAACCCTGAAATGCAAATGACTTGATGCGATGCAGTCTATCTTTAGCTGGCTGGGATGGGGGTGAAGGGGTAGGAGGTGAAGCGGGGCTCTGCTCCACATAGTTCTTCAGGGCCCACAATGACACCTTGTGTGCAGCAGCAGAGGAGGGAGCTGCAATGCTGTGTCTGGCCACCCGGTGCTCCAACCTAGAAATGACACATCACATTTCTGGCCCATTAGCCAGAAATCACCTATCACTGCCCACCTGCCCGGGGGCCCGGGGGGGATGAGGGGGGAAGGGTAGTAGAGGGGAAAGGGGTTGGGTGCAAAATGTGAGGAGCAAATGGAATTTTTTTGGTGACCGCCAGCAGCCTTCTGACCTTTACCCATTCCTCCCCGCAATTGGCAACCACCAATGTATTCTCTGTAGCTATGAGTTTGGTGGAGGTTTTTTGGTTTGTTCGTTTGTTTTAGATTCTACATATAACAGGCATTATATGGTATTTGTCTTTCTCTGTCTGATTTATTTCACTTAGCATAATACCCTCTAGGTTTATCCATGTTGTTTCAAATGACAAGATTTCCTTCTTTTATTATGGCTGAATAATATATATAAATTAATGTCCTTATCCACTCATCCATCGATGGGCAGTTAGGTTTGGTGAGCACCATTGTCCCTGCTACAGCAACAAAACTATCATGATTTACTGACAGTTACTAGATCTGCCAACCAGCATTGGTCCAAGATTTTCCCCGAGGAGCCCCAGTGGCCTGGGGTCAAGATGCCCAAATCTGAGCTCACTAACCCACATGGTTAAGCTACTTTGAGTCTTTTTCTAATCTGAAGATCATTCACATCCTGCTCCAAATCTGTCCCTCCCACCAAACCCAACAAAGGATCTGCAACGGAACCTGCTGGGTCCGCTCCTGAAAAGGAAAATGGGGAGCTTGCAACCTAGTTCAACTGTAGTTAAAACTGTAGTCTTACTTCCCCCCTCTGACTGACTTGGGCTGAGCTGCAGAGCCTAACCCCAAGGCCCCGCCACAGCTGACTTGGGCGGGGCTGCAGGAACCCTCAGGGGCCGCCACAGGAGGAAATATACAGGTCAGAGCCTCCTTTTCCGCTCCTGAAAAGGAAAATGGGGAGCTTGCAACCTAGTTCAACTGTAGTTAAAACTGTAGTCTTACTTCCCCCCTCTGACTGACTTGGGCTGAGCTGCAGAGCCTAACCCCAAGGCCCCGCCACAGCTGACTTGGGCGGAGCTGCAGGGACCCTCAGGGGCCGCCACAGGAGGAGATATACAGGTCAGAGCCTCCTTGCGAGTTCTGCCACAACACTCCTGCTCATTTCTGCAGAGGAACTGCCCTCTGCCACCTGAAGGTAAGCACCCGAGGCCCCTCCTCACCTGTGAGCACAGCACACAGTGCTTTTATCTCTCTCTCCTGCATCATCAATTTTCTCCTCTCTACTAGACTATTTCTGTTGCCATATAGATGTGATCATAAAAAGCATTTTCTTTGTCTCCACATTCACTCTGACTACCACCCCATATCTCAGCTTCCCTCTACAGCAAAACTCCCGGGAAGCTTTCTGTGGCTGTGTACCATTCTCCTTCTCCCCTTCTCCCTTCCTCTAGAATCCCCTGCAGTCTGGCTGCCCTTCCCTTCACTAAGCTGCTCCCTCCTCCCAGGCTCCCCTATGGAAGGCCCAGTGTCCATGGTGCTCTCCCTGCCCTCCCTGTGAGCTGTTCGCCAGCACCCTTGGCTCACGCACCTTCTACACGCCAACCACGACTCCCAAACTTGTGTCTCTGGAGCCAACTTCTTTCCTGAGCTCCAACCCCATAGAGGCAGCTGCTCAGCCAGCATCTCCGTCTGAATGTGTGTGGAAACCTCTAACTCAGCGATTTTCACCTTTTTCATCTCATGGCACGTAAACTAATTACTAAAATAATATATATTTTTGCCAATCTGACAAAAAATAGATATAATTTTGATTCATTCACACCAGACGGCTATTGTTGTGTTGGCTGTTGCCATTTTTCTATTTGACAATCTAAGAGAAAAAGAGGTCAGTGCCCCTGACTAAATAGTCAGGTACCGCATGTTTTAAAAGTTCCTGTGGCACATGGTTGGAAGTCGCTGCTCTAACTTAACAAGTTCTCCCATGAAGCCTGCCCTCCCCACAGTCTTCCCATCTCAGAAGAGTCACCTGTCTTCTTCCAGATGGGCAGTTCAAAGCCCTTGGTGCCCTCTTCGGTGCTTCCTCTCACATCTCCCATCCCCTTCCTCAGCAAACCCTGCTGGTTTGACCCAAACTCTGACCAATTCCGTTACCTCCACCTGGTCTTCTGTCTGGACTTGTGTGCTAACCTTGCAAATCGTCTCCTTACCATCTATTCTCAACATAACAATTGAGGGCGATTCTTTTAAAGCAGCTTTTTCTCTTACCTCATTTTTGAAATAGGAGGATTGGGTTCCCCTCCAGAAATGGCCTAATACGAGCAGTCTGTTTCCAGGGGAGACTTCTAGAGTGTTGGGCTTTCTGGTGCTATAAGATTACTCATATACTTTTAAAAATGTCCCCTATCAGTCCTCAAGTCCCCTCAAAGGCAAGTATTCCCAACGTCAGCTACTGCTTTCCTGCCCCTGCCCTCCGCCTCCTCACCCAGCTTCTCCCACTCACTCCTCACAAGTGCAGACAAAATATTTTTGCGGCAGCAGCTGTCCCATCACTTTTCTTAGCACACAAAAGAAAACCTCTAGCCCAAATTCTGATGTCACCAGGTTCTAGCATAAAAGGAAAATAATCCTGTGGGTTTGCTCCAGAGAAAGAAAAAAGCTAAAGTGGGTGGAAACAAGTTGAACCATGCATCACTATGACTCACGGGCAGACTCAGCCATGACACTTTCCCCTAGCTATTTAAGAAATGTCAATGCAGTTTTTTTTAATCAACTAAGCTTCCATTCATCTCTGCCTCACCCAGGGGACAGCTCGCCAGTCAGCTCAGCCTCTGCCATTAGACCGAGGGCCACCCCCCTTCTCCACCCTGCACTCTGCAGGAGCTCAAATTCCACCTCCCGCAGTGCAGGTCTGGCTCAGGATGAACCCTGAGTGGTGAATATGAAGGCCGGGGAGCAGCCTGTGTGCAAACCCACTCATTTTAGGGAAGGGCATGGACAAAGAGCCAGGATTCAGGAGAGCAAAGCAGGAAAGGGGTTCCAACAAGAGAGCAGATGGCAGCCACAGAGGGTGGCAGTTCGTCCTCACCTTACTTACCCGGGCCCCTCCAGCAGCTTTTACAGTACACTGAGCTCTGAGTAGTAGATCTTTAACCTTGATTTCCAGGCGTGGACTGGGAGGGCAGCGCACAGAGAGGGCCAGTGAGGGTTTGGGGCACCAAGTGCTGTACAGGTCCGGAGTCTGGGAGAAGCTGAGTTAGGCTGGACAGGGAGCCAGGCCTTGAAGGGGGTTAGGGGTTAACAATTAGTTTGGCTGAAAGAAGAGAAGAGGGTGTGCTGGGGCCAGGAGGAGGCAGATGTGAGCAAAGCCCAGGGGTATCATGACTCACCTCTTCAGACAAGGAGATGAACAGCCAGAGAAGAGACGCAGGGCCAGGAGGCACTGGGCCACTGTGGGTGGGCCTGGGCCTGGATCCTGCACCCACCCAGAGCCTCCTCTCCCCAAGCTGGGTCTGGGAAGCCAGGGAGGGAGACGGGGCGCGCAATGCCAGGAAAGAAGCCTGAATGGAGGGGGACATTCAGATTCCCAGACAAGGAGAAGGCATGCCCACAGGAGCGAGATGGCCCGTGCACCACACCACCCCCTTGTCAGCGCCCCAGGTCTGTTCCCCACAGTGGCCCTGAATGAAGGTGGACAGAGGCTCCAGGGTAGCCACCGAAGCCAGTGGCGCTTGTGTCCTTCCCTCTGGCTCTGGGTTTCTTTGTTTTAATTATTATTATTTATTGTCTAAAGTTTTACATATGCCTCCTTTTTCCCTGATTGTCCACCCCCTCCCAGCCATTCCCATCCTGGGCAAGCCCCCACCGCCCCAGGGTCTGTGTCCATTGGTTATGCTAATATGCATGCATACAGGTCCTTTGGGTGCTCTCTAACCTCCCCCCTTGCCATTTGTCTCTAGATCTATTCTTGTTCATCAAATTATGTTGATCATTATATCCCACATATGAGTGAGATCGTGTGATATTTATCTTTCTCCGACTGGCTTATCTCGCTTAGCATAATGTTCTCCAGTTCCATCCATTCTGTTGAAAATGATAAAAGTTCCTTCTTTTTTATAGCAGCATAGTATTCCATTGTGTATTATAGATGTACCACAGTTTTCTAATCCATTCATCTACTGATGGGCACTTAGGTTGTTTCCAAATCTTAGCTATGGAAAATTGTGCTGCTATGAACTTAGGGGTGCATATATCCTTTCTGATTGGTGTTTCTGGCTTCTTGGGATATAGACCTAGAAGTGGGATTACTGGGTCAAATGGGAGTTTCATTTTTAAATTTTTGAGGAAACTTCATACTGTCTTCCACAGTAGCTGCACCAGTCTGCATTCCCACCAGCAGAGCACGAGGGTTCCCTTTTCTCCGCATCCTCGCCAGCACTTGTCATTTGTTGATTTGTTGATGATAGCCATTCTGACAGGTGTGAGATGGTACCTCATTGTTTTGACTTGTATATCTCTGATGATTAGTGACTTTGAGCATGTTTTTATATGTCTCTCGGCCTTCTGTATGTCCTCTTTCAAAAAGTGTCTATTTAGGTCCTTTGCCCATTTTTTGATTGGATCATTTATCTTCCTTTTGTTAAGTTGTATGAGTTCCCTGTAAATTTT